GGAAGCTGCCAAGCTCTCAGAATAATTTCCACTTGCTAAATTCAAGTGTCATTTGACTGCTTATTTCTTCATATTTCTGCTCTTTATATTTTAGGAGCCAGTTCTTAAGACTTGAACTCATGGCCTTGCACTCTTGCTTAGCCTCTTTCCAAGAAAACCTGGAGTTGGAGATAAAGGGCTGGCTTTGCATACAAATCCTCGGATCTCAGATCCTTAAATCTCTGTGTAGATAGATATAATATAATCCTAGCTACTGAAGAGGTAAGCATCTAAGATTCTGAGGATCACTGCTTGAAGCCAGCCTGGGCAGGAATGTCGGAGAAATTCTAATCTTTTCAAATTCAAGCACCCATGCTAGCACAAAATGTTATATAAATTTAATCTGAAGAGATTAATTTTCCCACTGATAATTAAATCTCGATAGTTTGGTGTCATATCCTTTAACATAAAGTTGTCTTTGGAAAACTACATTTCAACAACTTGAAACAGATCTAGAGTAGCACTAAGAATGCCACTCAGTACCTAGATAAGCATTTCTGAATTCGGAGAGGATAGAAGCCTATTCATCACAATATTCCAAAGGTTTGTGAATGTCTATTATTACAGGGACACAAAACACACTGCATCTAAAAGTGCTATTTCCTCTACAACCCACCAGAAGTTTCCAGATACCAAAGGTTTCTTTTCTCTCTTGAGGATGTTTCTTTTTTTTGAGTAATTCAATTACATCAGTTTCAATATCAGGCAATAAAGCATTGGGGATGTGGTAGAGCACTTGTTTAGCATACACAAGGCTCTGGGTTCAAATTCAGCACTGCAAGTAAACAAATAAATAAATCAATGGGCACAACCATGTTCCCTTAGCCTAATATGATTAAGGCTGCACATATCAAGATATATTGTATGCATGAACTGCTTCATTAAATGGCAGCTCCATAGTACAACTATTTAGAGATAATGATAAAGAGAAAAATCTATCTTACATTAAAAATCACATAAAATATTTAAAACAGATCTGATTTGAACAAAGGATTTGACACTATGACAAGCAGCATACTTGATACTTTTAAAATTGAGATTTAGAAATACACACGTAGACCCATGAAAACAAAACAAATCAACTATCTAGTTTATATAAACCACAGTTTTCACTTGGGGATAATGGAATAGCTCTTCTTGTCAAGAGTTTCAGAAATAGACAAAACCGTCAGAGATGCTTTCTATAGGTTAAAAATAATAAACGTTTCCAGGTGTTGGTGGCTCACACCTATAATCCTTGCTACTCAGAAGGCTGAGATCTGAGGGTTGTGGTTCAAAGCCAGTCCAGTCACGGAAGGCTTATGAGACTCTTATCTCCAATTAACCACCAGGAACCCAGAGGTGGCACTGTAGTTCAAATGGTAGAGTTCTAGTCTTGAGCAACAGAGCTCAAGAACAGCACAAGCCTTGGGTTCAAGCCCCATGACCAACAAAAAATATTGTTAAGAGACCTAAGGCCAAAGACATGGAAGTTATGAAGGTAGAGAACAAGAAGATAGTTTGAGGTGAACTTCCTGGCTGTAAGGTATTTATCAATCTTTATTATTGTGTAGTCTTCATTAGATAGAACCATAGATGATCAAATCAGCATCTTTGTCAAGATAGCAAAAGCCTTTGCCTCATGGGGTCATTGTGTTTCATTTCTCTCAGGAGTGAGAAATAAGAGTATATAGCTAGATATAGTAAGAGTATGTTGCTAGAACACATACATATCTGTAATCTGCATAATCTGGATATTTGTAAACACACCAATATTTCCCATTTCCTCCAGCAGAGGTCAGATGAGAGCAACCCTGGATTATGAAAATCTAGAAACCAGAAGGATATTTTAGGATGATTTTCTTAAGATAGGAGATTTGAGATTCTTAAAAAGTATTTTCTTTTCCTCATATTTTCAAATTGTATTTTACAATCATGCTTTACTTTTTAATAATTAAAAATCAATAACATCTATTCTAAAATTTATAAAGAGCACCCTTACACATTTACCCTTTAATAAGTTAGTGCGACGGCTTAATTACTTATATTTTCTTAGCTACACATTGATCATTGGAAATAAAGAAAACCACCACTGTGAAAAATCATTTAAGTACAACATAGCTTCCACAATTGATAAGCTGACATCTCTCTCAGACAAGGACTTCCTGGCAACAGTAAGATCACAGGATAAATCCAAGACTCTTAGACAACATGGCTCTCAACTTGACAAGAATCAATGCACATACTCTGAGAACAGGGAAGAACTCTAGTCATCTCTAGAGAAATATAAGATCTGGGTACTTTGAGAATTCAGTTTTCTGCAAGTCATATGGGTACAATGTGATTTACATTTAAAACAGCAAAGAACCCAACATTTATTTACCCAGAACTGCTGGTTTTTATTCAACAAATAATGCTATCATCCTGTTATATTTTCATCTGTAATTCATCCATCACTTTTTTATGCCAGTCCTGAGGTTTGAACTCAGGGCCTGGGCTCTGTGCCTTACCTTTTGCACACAAAGCTAACACTTTACCATTTGAACCACAGTACCACTTCTGGTTTTGGGTGGTTAACTGGAGATAAGGATCTCACAGACTTTGCTGCCCCAGTTGCCCTTGAATTGCAATCCTCAGATCTCAGCCTCCTGAGTAACTAGGATTACAGATGTAAGCCATTGGCATCCACTAATTAATATATCTTTTAGAAGCAAAAAACAACAACAACAAAAAGGCTTACAAGATTATGCTAAGTTGAATGAACTCCAAGGCACGGACACAAAATATTTCTCTTCGTTGTTATTGCTTTTAATGTACTATATGATTTTTTTGTTTCTTTTGTATGTTCTTCCCCCTATGTTATATCCTCTGTTATCACCACTGTATTTGATTTTGGTACCCTCGTATTGCATATATGTTTATTTCAATTAGAGAAGGGAAAGGGAACAACAGAATGGTTAGACAAAGGACAAGGGGGGAACCAATGCAATAGCAATATATATAAGACAATATGTCGGAAATGATCTGTACAACTTTTGGAGGGTTGGGGGAGGGAAAGTAGAAAAATGAGGGTAGGGGTAACAAGTTTGACAAGAAATGTACTTATTACCTTACTTATGTAACTATAACCCCTCTGTACATTACCTTGAGAATAAAAATGTTACTAATAAAAAAGGCTTATAAAACAAAATCTGAAGGACAATTAAAGCATATATGTATTACTGAAGGAAATCTTTTTCCATCATGACAAATTAACAATTGCTTACTTCTTGTTATAGTAAATGATTTATATAGCTTATTATTTGTCCTTTGTGATAGTATCACTCACAAATAGAAATATGGTAAAGTTATTTATGTTACCCAAGAGACTGTTGTGAGTTTCTTCTTTTTTGTTGTTCTGGTTTGTTGTTTGGTGGTACTGAGGCCTGTACCCTGGACCTCACCTATGCAAAACACTTACTCTATCACTGAGCTATACTCCCAGTCCCTCTCCTGTTCTCTAAGGAATAATTTCTACCTGTGAGGAGTATGTCTCTCATCTAAATGGGTAAGTGAGGAGAAGAGAAGAAAGATAAAAACTCAAAATCTCTGTCAGAGCTTGGCATGGTAGTACACACCTGTTATCCCAATACATAGGAGGCTGAGGCAAGAAAATCACAAGTTTAAAGCCAGCTTGAGCCACATAGTAAATTCCAGGGCAGCCTAGCTTTTTGTCTCAAAGAGAACAAAACCCTGCTAGTTCTTCTGTGGATTTCCAAGGTGGGACTGAGAATAGGTCACCCTCTGTTTTTCAGAGATCATCCGTGATTCTTTTGGACCAAAGTGAGAATCCAGGAAAAACAAAATAGGGAGAGGTAAGAGAAGTGAAGAGCATTTGACAATCAGCAACATGATGGGAGACTGGACTATGGAGACAATGTTACTAGTGAGCAATCCTCAGAGTGCTATGGAGTCTATGAGGTCTATGGGGTCAATAAGATATCTGATCATTCTGAACTGATAGTATTCCCCAGTTTAAAAGTCATCCATTATACACAGCTTCAGTCATGTCTACTACACATAAATACTGGGTAGTTTGAGGAAAATCAAAATGAAGTTTGAACTCAGGTTGGTATACAGAAAAGGAAAGAAATGAGTCATAGGCCTTGAGATACAAATGAGCTTAGGGATCATGGAGACAACATGTGACCATGAATGAGAGATCTGTCCATTCATAGAAATCATGGTGAGAACAATGGACTGTTCTTTGAAAAAGATGGGATTTGGAACCCAACCACATTTATGTTAATGTCTAAAGATAACTAAATAATGTTGAGTGATATATGGGACACAATGATAAAATTTTTCAATTCTATGAATTGGATCACAAATAATCTTTATAATATAAAGTATAGGGTAATTCTTGTTAACCTGTACACAGATTTTTAAAAAACATTAAAATGTCAATGGTATTTTATATATATATATATATATATATATATATATTTGTCAGTGATGGGGCTTGAACTCTGGGTCTGGGCGCTGTCCCTCAGCTCTTCAGCTCAAGGCTAGTGCTCTACCTCTTGAGCCACAGCGCCACTTCCAGCTTTTTCTGTTCATGTGGTGCTGAGGAATCGAACCCAGGGCCTCATGCATGCAAGGCAAGCACTCTACCACTGACCCATCTTCCCAGACTCTTAAGTAGGGATATTTGATAAAGAAATCACAAATGTTTTTCTTCACTGAAATTGTTAAATATTTTTACCAAATGGATGATGTTATTTTATCATTAACCTGCCAAACTAAGTTCAGAAGTACCACCTCAGGGCTGGAATTGTTGCTCATGTGACAGAGTACTTGCCTTGCAAACACAAGATCCTGAGTTCAAATCCCAGTGCTTCAAAAATAGGAAACATATCAGAAATGTCACTTAATTCCCCTCTGATGATAATGAATAAATTCTCAGAGTGATTGAAATCCTGCTGTGCCTGTTTTAAGCTTACCTTTACGTGGTGAATCAGGCGTTCAACTTCATTCACTTTGTAGGTCTCCAATCCTAGATCTTTGGCCAGTCTTAATATACGATTCTGGGTTGGCCCAACGTAAGATCCTCCAAGGTCCACATATTTAACCTTGTGGTTCTGTTTTCCCATAGGAAAAAATTAGAACACATGTTTGTGAAAACACTCCTTACATAAGCAAATTGATATTGCACAAGTTATTGGTACATTTGAGGTACAGCTAAAATGTCTCCTTACAATGTATGAAGGCTCACTAGACAAAAAATAAGAAAGGGAAAAAAAGTCATTTGCTAATTCATACATTTGAAAAATAGCACCAGAGACTATTTGGTCATGATTTGAACCTTTGAAATGACTTCTCTGTTTAATAATATTTAATATGATTTTGAATCCACATCATTTCTAAAGTTGAGAGGGCAACTTTTTGAATTAGAAATTAATAGAAAGGGTCCATATCTCTGACCATGTCCCACCAGAACCAAATTACCTCTTAGTCAGGGTCTAATGTTTCTATTTACTTGTTTACTGTCTAGATTCACACTCACCTCCTAAAAAAGGAACACGATAAAGCAAATGTAGTACATACACCTAATGAAATACTATTCGGCCCTCAAAAAGAAGGAAACTGTCATTTGGATGGATGAACCTGAAAGCTCATAATAGTAAACAAAGTAAATCAGGGGCAAAAGGATAAATACCACATGATCTCACTTGCCTGTGGAATCTAAAACAAAAGTTGGGCTTATAAAAGTAAAGTAGAATGATGAGAGGCATAGGCACTGAGGGAATGGACAGTTATTGGTCAAGGTATACAAAGTTTCAGTTAGACAGGACCAATAACTTTTGAGATTTATTATACAACAGGTAGCCTGCTCTGTAGTAATGTGCCATAAATTTCAAAAGAGCTAAGTAAATTGTGGGTGTATTGCCTCAAAACATGTTAAATGAGGTGATAGATAAGCTTGATTTAATCATCCCACCTTGTATCCAAAACACATTGTATTCCATAAATGTATTCTGACTGATTTAAAATAATATAAACTTAAAACAAACAAAACCAAGCACATATCCCCCACAAAAGATTAAATTTTCTGGCTAAAATGATTAAAAATTAGAGGTAGAAAGTACAAGGAATTGTGATATTTTTCTTACTAGTTCATACATGTGTACCCATGCACATGCATACAAACATTATTCACATTTCCAACCCTCTTTGTTCTAACTCTCCAGTGCCAAATATTATGAAGTAAGAAGACCAAAACATGGGAACGAACAAAAGAGAGAAAGATCTGTTTAGTGACTTCCATCACTAGCACCAAAAAATTAAAAAATAACAACCACAGAGAGAGATTTTTTTCTGCTTATTTTACATTATCTTGAAATAGTTGTACAAAGGGGTTTTAATTCAACATGTCAGCTTATGAGTACAATACAACTTACTTAATGTTACCTATCCCTTTGTTCTCCCCCATCTCTCCCAAACCCACCCATCCTCTAAAGTCTATTTCTGCATGAATATATTCATCCACACTTCCCCTCTCCACTTGTCTTCCCCTTCCCCTTGATCTCCCCCCTACCTCCCTGACAACATATACCCTAGTTTCCTGGTCCTCATTTTATTACTGTGAGTTGCTCAAGACTTTTACTTTTTAGATTGAAGATTTAATTTTAAATTGGAGATTTTCATTCAAATTCTAGCCAATCAGAAATAATTTCATGGAATTAAAGACTTTGGGGGAAAATAAAACATTAAAAACAGAAGCCAGCTTCAGTTCCACTTTCTCCTCTCCATCCGTTGTGTCTTACCCTAACAGTGTAAGTTCTGCCTCCCACTCGGTCGCGGGCTTCCAGAACCACCACGTTCAAGCCAGAGTCATGCAGAAGTTTGGCTGCTGCCATTCCTATGGGGAAGAGCATTAAGACATTAGGATCAAACCAGGTGCCTGTGACTCACTCCTATAATCCTAGCTACTCTGGAGGTTGATATCTATAGATCATGGTTCAAATCCATCTCAGGCAAAAAAGTCTATGAGACTTTATCTCTAATTCATCACTCAAAGGCTGGAAATAGAGCTGTGGTTCTAGTAGTAGAGCACTAGCCTTTAGCAAAAAAGCTCAGGGACAGTTTTCTGGCCCTGAGTTCAAGCCCAGGACCAGCACCAGGAAACAAAGGAAGGAAGAAAGAAAGAAACAGAGGAAGAAGAAAGAAAGAAAGAAAGAAAGAAAAAAAGAAAGAAAGAAAGAAAGGAAGGAAGAAAGAAAGAGAGGAAGGAAGGAAGGAAGGAAGGAAGGAAGGAAGGAAGGAAGGAAGGAAGGAAGGAAGGAAGGGAAGGGAAGGAGGG